ATAATATAGTGCAAGTATTTTAATACTTAATATCAGTAGCCACAAACAAGATGTTGCTTTTGCCATCCCGGTCCCACCTTTAGTCCCCATCCTTGCAGATAAAAGCGATCAAGATTTTCTCAAATGCAGCTTTTTATTTTTTTTCATATGTGATGTACAAAATCCCCCAAAAGGTGCTAGAAATCCTTCCCACAGTATTAGGAACTCTTGTTATGTTTTTCTACATTTACAGTAGAGGGCAAACTATAACTAAGGCTGAATCCATTATGTAATACCAACCCTCCGCCAGATGGGGTCACCTTAGTGCTTTGTGATAAATTATTTTTCTCTGGAGGATAATAACCACCATCTCTGATGATAAAACAATTCTTCATCCTTAAAGCACCAGCATCAGTGTGTGTGAGAAAACATCCTGTTGACACTGAGACAGTAGAAACTAACAGTGTTGCATTTTGTTGATGTCTGTTATGGCATTAAATTTGTGACATTTCAACTCCCTGTTAGGGTCCCTGGGTCGTTGACCCAGTGTTTTGTGTTTTTGGTTCTTTGATTTTGTTATTTCATTATATTCTAGCTTTGCTTTATGGGTTTTAGGATCATTCTTAGTTTAGGTTCTCTGGGTGGGGTTGGTTAGAGTTTTAGTGTTCTGGTTTTCTGTCTGTGTTCCATAGTTGCTGTCTTCCCTGTCTGCTGTATCCCCACATCCAGTCAGTGTTTGTGTCTGCCCTGGTCCCACGTCTCTGTTCCCTCTGTAGTGTCTGCATGTGAGTCTGTGTTATGTGTTTCCTGTTTTACTTTGAAGGTCTCTGTCTTATCTCAGTGTGTTCAGTTTACGCTTCTTTGGTCTCGTCAGTTCTGATTTGTCCCAGCGGTGTTTCCCTCCTGTTACTCATTCCCTGATTGCTCCCTCTGTGTATTTAAGCCCTGTGTTTCTCTGTGTCTGTGTCGTGATCTACCATTTTCTTAGCTGTGTGTTCTGTCATTTCTCCAGTTTAAGTTTGTTTTGAGTTTTTTCAGTTATGTTATATTTTTGAGTACCTAATTAAAGCCTTTTTGAGTTCACGTCCGTCTCCGGAGTCTGCACCTTGGGTCCTATTCCTGCCTGCACACAGCCACACCTAACACTCCCACTGTGACTATGGTTCATTAAATGACACCATTAAAAACAAAAAAACATTAACATTGATTTAAATTACTTAAGTGATGTAATAGAATTAAAATAGAAACGTAGGAGACTGAAGACGTAATCAAGTCGTTTGTGAAAATAAAGGTTCTTCTTTTTGATAACGATATTGAATTAGTTACAAATTCTGTATTGCCATTTAGCATAAAAGTAATAAAAAGGTCAAAAGTCAATATCATAGGCAACTTCATTGTCAATTCTGAAATATGTACAAAACATACACAGGACCGAAACATCATTTCCCCCTAACTAGCATGTGCAAGTCGAAGCTTATCATCGAGTTACGAGAGTATGAAATGTAGATGTGAACATAAATATCTGTAAGTATGAGTTATGTCGTTAAAAAGCTACTTAAATTATCAAAATTAAACTACTTAGTATGCAGAATAATCTCTGCCGATGCTATATTTATATATGTAAATGTTATTTTCTCCTGCTCCCTTTTTCACAAGGGGTTGCCAAAGGGCTTAGCTCTGCATATTTGAATTGGCAGATTTTTTTTAACCAGATGCCCTTGCTGAATGAATCATTATTAATGATGTATAAATATGAATGCATTTCAGTCCTACAATCCCACATACCATAGGGCAACGGCATTAGTCAGCATATCAAATGCATTTGAGAAGAGCTTTTGTATTTGATGCTTTTCTTTCATTTCAACTAAACATGTAATATTTAAGAATCCTTACTTGTTTCAAAATGTGTGATTTATTTATAAAGTTTTGGAATAATTAGAAAAATTAGTGGCTTTGAAATTGTAAATATGAATGACATTTTTTGACTTGAAAGATTTGCAGTAACCCTGACAACAATATTGTCAAGTCAATATGGGAAACAGCTAATAACATGTTGTTTAAGTACTACATTCTTTCCACATTATGATTTAATAACACAAGAAGACACAAAAATAAGCAAATCAATCAAAAAACTTGTTAAGCAGCTTGTTTCAGGTTCACACATAGCTAAAAGAAAAGAGCATAAGCGTCTTTTTTTCCCCTCTCTTTGAAGCTAAGCTAATGTTGGCTGGTGCTTCATGGTTGTCATGGTAATCACAGTAAATTTGTAGCATTCTCATCCAACCCTTGGCCAGAAATACTGAATCTGAAGATTAATTATGTGTCTTACACAAAACAGGAGTGTTGTATTGTTTTCTTTTATACTTAATAATATATCACATGCCACTCTAGTTTACAGCAGATAGAAGCTTGCAGCACTGTATCCACAAAATCCCTCACACATGCAAGTCAAGGTCAGACAACTATCCCTGGCGTCACGAACACCTGAGATGCGTTGACAAATATAGTCTATCTACATTCATGTGAATGCCATTTCTGCGGCGTACTACAATTTATCATATCAGATCTCCTTTGTTGTCAGTAGAGCAGCTTGTTCTGTCAATGTACGCCAACTAAGTCACAGCTGATTGTGAGAAAAAATCCTGGTCTCTTTCTGTCCGATATCTGCTGCATCATTTCATCGCCCTCTTTCTGCTGCTGCCAGCACATTCTCCCCTACGTGTGGTTTGATCCAGAGAGGGCAACAGCACTGCATCAGCATGGTGTGAGAGAGCGTAATTATGTGTTTGATGGTGTATAAAAGTCTGAATACTGTCTCTCACAATCAGAACACTATATTACAGTCAGCATATTGTGTCTTTCACGTTAATTTTAGAACAGCCTTATTCATCAGCAGAGGCCAAAGGCAAGGTGGAGGTCTGGAAACACTCTTATTTCTTAGCAGGATTAAGCAAAAAATAAATAAAAAATGCCAGCCTGAATTTCATAAAAGTTGCTTGACAAGTTGAATATGGGCACAGGGAAAAACCCGTTATTTGCAGATACCAAATATGTCTTTGGCACTCGCATAGGCACAGGATGTGTTTTCCAAGGTTCTTCGCAGTTACAGTTGGTTGTCTAGAAATTTGAGCTTACACAGGTGTGAGACTTTGAGCTCACACCAACTTCAAAGGCTGTTGGAAATATTGACATATTTACTGAAACCCACATAAACTACCCAGATCCGGAGTGTTCTTATTTTTAGAGAAAAGGCATTTCAGAAAATGCTATTTTCCAAGTGAATCCATTTTTCCAAGTATTGAGGGATGAATGTGCAGATTTGGATGAATTGGTTACAGAAAATATTTATTTTATTTGTAAAATGATTGCAAATATAACTGTTATTTAATGTAATACAATGGTATTCTCTTTATGTTATTACATAAATATTTTTTTTCTGCATCCAGATTTCTTAAGCTCAAAATCCTAAAGATTGAGTAGGTTCAAACCTATCTTTCTTATGCTCTGTAGCACTTTTTAAGCATCAATGCAACGATGCAATGGCCAAACAAACAAGCAGAACAAACCAGTTGATAGTATTTGTCCAAGATGGAGCAGTAAATCAGAGGAAGCAGAAGATTACTGGATGGAATAAGGGGACTGTAAGATGTTGGTGGTCATCAACCCGTTTACAATTCCTCTAGAAATTCCCATCACCTACTTGAGGCGAGACTTGCGGCTCTGATCTAAACACAAATGACCTACTTTGTCAAACCCACAGTCCCTTGTGACAGTACATTTGAGAGGAAGATGTTCTGGTATAACGTAGCAAATTGCATGGAAGTAGTGCAGCAAGGCTTGAAAGAGAAAATCTTCCCAGGGGAATTTGCAAGCAGGGGCTTTGCAGGAACATCCACAATAAAACCACATAAGGACCTGGGGATGAAAGTATAAGTAAACCATCAAGACAACATCAGAGGTGGCAGAAAGCTGCAGTCAGCAGCTGCAGTAGAAAAGAAATGATCAATGTTGGGCAGGAAAGTGAGCAGACTGTGGAAAACCTGGGGTAGATAGTTGTAGGATCCCAGAACTCACAGAACACCGAGGATGTTGGGACACCCACTGACATCCCAAATAACAGGTTTTCATAGCTCCACAACCCTCCAACAGGTGCTGCCAACTCTGAATGATAGAGGAAGGGCAAGTTAGCACATCTGTAAACAAATAGGCCTCACCTGCTGTCTTTTATTGTTTCATTTCAGATCTAATGTGGTTGAATAAACAGTCGAAATTCTAAAATTTATGTCAAAGGTTTACATAACCTATCAGTAAAAGTAGTTAGAGTGTTCAGCTATATAATACACATAGAGGCAGTCAGAAATCCACCTGCACGCACTGTGCACACAATGATGTGAAAAAGCATTGACAGCATTTCGAAAGGTTTTTTTTGCGTTTTTGTTTCAGATCCAATGAATCTCAATATTAGACAAAGATGACCTGAGTAAATGTTGATTCAGTTTTGATATAATGGGAAACGGCTGTCCTGACCTACCTGGTCCCATGTGAAAAAGTAATTTTCTCCTAAATCTGGTTGTGCCACTCTTGGCACCAAGAACTGTTTGTTTGTTTTGTTTATTTTAATTTTTTTTTTACCATGAGGCGAATGTCGTAAATTTGAGGTATTTAAACAGGATTTTTATTCAAACTGGCTGTATGAGATGAAACTGCTTTAAAAGGTTTCTAACATAAACTTGATCAAATGTGGGAATCCTTCCATAGACCTCAGTTCTTCTCTTAACTTACCTGACTTCCATTCGTCGTTCTGATATTTACTGAAAAGTAGTCACATGTGATGTCAAAACAAAAAAAAACAAAAAAACAAAAAACAAACCCATGTTACACTTTCCATTGCACTGCACAGCGCGTTTTTTGGGTGTTGGGATTTCCTGTCCCATAACACAGAATTTGTCCCTGCGCCATCTGCTCCGAGTACATCACGCGTGGTGCAACACATTGCGTCACAGCGTGTTCATAACGTACCCTCCTGCTGTGGCTAAATACGAATGGGGAAGTCAGAGTTTACACGGTGCAATTGAAGGCAACGCGGGAGAGAGAGGGAGAGAGAGAGATTCGTTCATCAGCTCCTTTTCCGTCTCTGGTCACTCGCTCTGCCTCCTCTGCCGTGTCACCGAAGATAAAAAGAAAAAAAAAGAAAAAAAAGAGGAAGGAATATGGTTTCGTGTGACGCTCCTCCCGTTTCAGCAGCGCTGCTGTAGCGGATCTGTAGCACGAGCAGGAGGCTGGGGCTCGGTCCGGCGCAAACCCCCTTTATACCTGAAACAACCGCCTTCCCCGTTACCGAGCAGGCTGCAGGAGCACTACCAGCACACCGGGACACATAAATGGGTAAGGTGACGCTTTTTTCCTCTCTCTCTCTTTTTATTAGCTTGTTCTTTGTAGAAATTCCCAGAATAGCCTCCAGTGCCTCTGCGCATCTGGATGGGGACAGGAATCAACCTCCGGTCCAGATGCGCGCAGGGTTCAGCCTCTCTCCTTCCTCCCCACCTCACCTCCCCTGACGTCGCTCCATGCATAGCAGGGCTGTTTCGAAGGCGACCGCAGGCTCGGGGTTGTACTCTCGCACATCAGGCTTTATTCACGATTAGAAAGCCCGCGCGTGGGAGTTGCAGCGCGTCCGCACGGGAGCGATTTTAGGAAAGCAGCGCCGGGTAGCATTGATGAGTTGCAGATGTTGACACGTTTACATTCGCTCTCTGTCTGTCTGCCCATTGTGTCCCACGAAGTCTCCCCAGCTCTGTGGATGAAACAGGCCTTACCGTTCTCATCATCGCCATTATTTCCCACGGCACTGCGTTGTTGCACGCAATTCATGACTATTAATTACCCACAGAGTCCGCGGACGAGTAATCAATTACAAGTACAAATGAGCGGATTGTCTCACAGGCGTCATGCAGACTCGGAGGTTCAACTTTGGTTTCCATGCTACTTTCCCCCCTCTTTTTTAAAATCTCTAAAAGAATTCCTTATATTTATTATTTGAACGGCTGACTCACAGATCAGCAGCACTCTCTACAATTCTGAGCAGTAATTAAGATATTTTGCAGATATTTTCCAGTTACATCCTATTGCTTTTAAATACTTTTTTTTTTTTTTTTTTTTAAATTGGAGGTCTCTCTCTGCAGGCACGTAAACAAACAATACAAGGCTGACCTCAGGGGAAGCACGCTTATAAACAACTTTCAATGCTGGAATGCCAACTGGGGAAAGCAGTAAATTACCCCAGAGGCCCACAAATCCCTGTAGTCACTATGTTAAGGTGTTCGGCTTTTAAACAGATCATAAATATGGTGTAGGGGAAATGTTTACAGGTTAAGAATTCACCACTAACACGGTGCACAGTCTCTTAGTTCATTCTTTTTATAGGTTACAGGATGACTCATTCACACAAACTGCTGCTTAAAAGAGAAAAAGACAGTAAAAGAGCACACGGATATGACCTTTTACAGTGCAAATGAGCTTTTTTTAAACCCAGTAAGCCTTATTGGTTAAATATATAACAAACCAATCTGTTGTTGTTGTTAATCCACTCAAGTTAAATTAAATAATTTTTAATCAGCCAGGACATGTTTGACCTTATAGCTGTCATTAAATCACTTTTAATTGTTCAAACATACATGCCAATTAAGTAGCATTTAAGGTGGGTTGGAGTAGGCTTCTTTTCTCTGGAAGAAGACACTGTGCTGGTAATTTTTATACAGTATTCTAGCCCTTCATCCATGGTTGGTTTTTGATTTAGCCATGTGTTAAGAGAAAAAAGCATATTCTCAGAAACTAGACAGTGTTTTTTTTTTCAAAGCTTTAATAAAAAAAGGGTATGAACCTAACCTCGCCCTTAACTGAAGATGGATCGGCATCGATTTGCTGCACGTTTACAGGTTAAGAATTATTATTAAGTTAATTGGTTAATTACTCAACTCCAAGGTATTGTCCTGAACTACACCTGGAGTATTGTGTCCAGGTTTTACATTTACTTTGAACAAACACCAGGGTGGTCAAATATGAGAAACACCTCTGAATGTACAACCTGAGTGCCAACTATGGTTTTTGATGATTAACATATCAATAACAGCCTTTATTGAAGAAGTGCTAGAATGATTCAATTAGACCGAAACCTAACTCTCTGTGACCACCTGAAATGTAGCATTTTGCAAATGTTTTCTGGTTAAGAAGATAGTTAGCTGAGCAACCAAGGATATCAAGTTTATGTATATATAGTGCAGTCAACTGAAAATCCTGAGTTATGATAACTTTAGATAGCTCGCCTCTTGTACATTTTGTAGCTCAGGCCACTGGGTGTAGTTCCTAAGTGACACTGTGTGCCAAGGGACTCTAAACATCGTAAGTATTTTTAACTTAAGCACTTGAATTCGTAATGAACTCATTAGTGATGTTTAATTTGACAAACATCTAATCACCCTTGGATTGAGCAGCTTAAACTCAGAGTATGTCATCTCTTAGTTAGGTAAACATAAAAACCTACAATTTTTATAACGTTTCAGCATCAGTAAACAAGTATTTGTATATTTAACTGCGTTTATTTACATTCGTAGTTTCACTTCATATTTTTCTCTGGGCATCTACACCCCCATTCTGCAGTGGCCTTATAGTTTGAGAAAGCTTGCGTGCTTACTTGTTTGCGTGTTCCTGCACACATCGTACAAAATGAAGGCCCAGACATCAGGCTTACAGTGGATTGCAGCTTTGTGTAATGCTTCAGTTATCAGGGAAAAAATAAAAAGTGTCAGACATTCTTCTCTTTAACCTTCAGAGGCTCAAAAGTGTAGTAATAAAAAGGCTTTCTTTCTTCTTTTTTTTAAAGTCTTTACATTTTGTGCATTCAACCATTAAACACAAAGACACGCAATGTGTTAATATATGCAAGTTTCACTACTGCCATTATGATACTGTTTGGCCAAGAGCTGTTTCACTTTTGTCGTCTGAAACTGAAAAGCTTTCTCTCTCTTCCTGCTTTTGTTGCCAGCATTGCTCACCTACGCTAAAACCCCAAGAGGAATGCACTTGGGGGTTATCACTGGGAGTTCTGGGAAATGAGAGCGCTGAGAAAGGGGCAGCTCGAGCTGGGGCTGAGATTAATAGATTTTTATCACAAGATGCGCTCGACAGCAGAACGATGAGCGGAAAAGCGGCTGGAATTTCTCTTTAATGTGGGGGAATTTGCTGAAGCCTGTGATCTGATCCACAGTTGGAGTGGGTGGCTTTGACTCCCAGTGGGCTCCGGTCCAGAGTGAATGTTTTACAGAGAGCAACACACAGCTGCTCTTGACATCATCAGCCACAGCAGCACTGAAACTCACCCACAACTAAACACAAGTCCGCTATTAACCAGTGAAGTGGCTACACAGCTTTGCAAAGTTCACTGTGTCTGCATGTGTTGCTTCCTCTTATCTAAACTGTCTTCAGCTTTTCGGGGTATGCTGCGGGCCCATCTCGCTTCTTGTGCGAGGGTGTATTTCTTGACCGCTTGAGTGGGAGTTTTATTTTGTCTGCAGGCTTTCAAATATTCACTCTTGTCTTCTCAAGGCTTTTTGTCAGTCTCCTTTTGCTCTGTACTGACAACGTATTACCAACTGCATGAGTATAGAACAGACAGACTACCACAGTCGATTAATCATTTCTTCTTTAAAACATCTCAAAATCGTTTGAAACTTCGGTTACTCTCATGCAACGAAAATGTGCAGTTAGGAAGAGGAAGAGAATACTTAAACGTAATTATGATTTTGTCTGATATCTGCAGCTGATGTCTAAAGGCTGCAGGAGCATTAATTGTTAAGCTGTCAAAAATAGACTTCCTGTAACCAGAATCGCCTAAATTAACTGTAATTTTCACTGTTTCTCATCAAGAGTTTTATTGCATTTCATGGCACAGTGAACAATGACAGATACCCAACTAAGCCTCATGGTCTGCACTTGCATGGTGATTTATGACTAAAAGATAGACTGTATATAAAAGATAGCCCTTCAGAAGTCTCAGTTTCTTGCCGCTATTGTCGATATGGTCGCTACTGTCTGTTGAATTATGGTGGTTTCACTAAGATGCAGACAGATAAATAGTCACTTGTTGGGTGTTTGTAAATGATTAACCTCTGATAAAAACTGCACTGCATTATCGCCACAGGCTAAAGTGATGCTCGCTGTGTGTTTTCCCCTTATAGCTGACAGGTTATCTGGATAAGAAACATATGTTCTGTTTATTTGCAGTTTATGCTCAGCGCTGTTTTCAGAGACAGACATTGGAAATTTTTGGAAAAAGCAGTGGTTCTTGTGTGTCATTGTCTGACTGCTTTGTGTGGAGGGCTACATCTTTGGCTAGCTTTTCAGTTGCTGTGTCACATTTTTGTATTCGAGAGTGCAGTTCTAAGGTTTAGGTAATGCTGGCATCTTATTTAGTAAGATGTAACTATATACTCTCTACAGAGGTAGCATGTTAGTATTTCTCTTATTGAAAAAACTGGAATGCAGACCTCATCGCTGAGAAGTCCAGTTCTGCAATTCATATTAGGAGAAGTGACTTGTAGTAGATGCCTAGTTGTCAGGTAGAAAGCTAGCTGTCACGCAGAACTACCATGCAGCTAATACTTTAATGGGTGAGATAAAAAAAAGTAGTTCTTGTAGTGGGAAATAACCAATCCAGTCCAAAAGTATTTCTCTAAATGTGCTTTTTAACACTCTTAATGTGGAAGTCTATGGGTATTTACAAACTGGTCTCAAGTGGCTATTAGAGGAACTGCAGTTGTTGTCACTGATAAACATGTGCCACTTAACGCCATGTAACACATTGCTGCAAAAACAGCAGCAGTGTTATCTTTTATCATCGCTCTCATGGGCCATCAGACGAGCTCCCTTCATTGCCCTCTTGGCTCATTAGTTTTCTTTTCCCAGTCAAGCAAAAAACATGTATTGTTTCTAGAAAAGTGACAAAGGAAATCTAGATAAAGCCCTATTTTTTGAAACAATGATTCAAGTTCATATTCTGACTTCCTGCTTTTGAGACATATCAAATTCATCTTTAGAAAAACATACACGTGCATTATAATTCCCAAATTGTATAGCTGCACCAACACAAGCAAAAAAATCTAACAAAGTTAGGTGTAATCTTTGTGCGTGTGGTATTACCAAGGAATTTTTATCTTAATATGTTATCTTTACAAGTCATTGCCGACATTTGAAACATGTCCTTGCTATCTCAATCCTCCTCACATCTCAGCATGCCATCCAGAGGTCAAACGAGGCGACTCCTAATGGGCTCTTTAACTAAAATACCCCCTGCAGCTGCCTGTATTCTTTTGGTTTTGGTGTTTTGGTGT